CTTGTGCACAAGTGCGCTCGGGTATAAAAATAATTAATATTTTTCGACCAAAGTAATGATTATTTTACGATTCTTATTTTTTCACTGAAAGTTAATTATTATTGAGTTTTGTTTTTTCACAGAAGAATAATGATCATTCAAAAAACTTAATAGCTATACCAGCGCGATTTCCGATGTATCCTTTTCAGAGGTAGGGACACCCTAATAAAAGGAATAAGCCCCAAAAGTTTTAAGGTCAAAATTTTGGTAGGCTGCGTCTGTATGGCCTTTCCAATTTTTTAAATAATCAAATCAATAATAATTTATATTTTTAAGCGAAACAAAATCATAAAGTAATGATAAATTGCTGATTGAAATAATTTACTCATAATGATTACCGAAAACCCGTTTGGGAAAAAGTGCAAAAATCTCACAGCCTAATGCCAATGTGAGGCAACCGCAATAAATCAATCTAGCCTACTCCAAAAAAATTTGATGTCAATCAACAAAATCAAACATATAAAAATCACAAAAATCAACACAAAAAACCTAGAAAAATTTTAAAAGTCCGTCAAAAAAATCACACGGGAAATGTCAAACGCCTGCAATCGCTATAAATTACTGTTAGTAGAAATGAGCGCAAAAGTAGCAAAAAAACCACAAACGGAATTGGAAAATTAAACTCATAAAATAGCGGATGCTCAAGCTAAAGCTGCAGGCGGCATTTATTTTAAACTCAGCATTGAAAAACGTTACTGCTGAGTAGAATAAAAACTAAGCGATTCAATAAAACTGCACTAAAAATTATATATTTACATTGATTTTTTGCATTGCTTTGACTTCAATTAGATTATCGATTTTGCAATAGTTGCGAAAAACCGCACAACTTATGGTCGTTAAATCGGAGCAAATTTGCAGAGCTCAGGTTACTTGATTTCCAATGCTTATCAGTTATGCATACATATGTATGTATGCAGGAGTATATTGCTAAATAAATACTCAATAACTGTTGCATACTATACATACAGGCTATGTATGTACATATATTCACATAACTACGTACATATCAATTTAAGCTGTCATTTTGCATATCCACCTTTGGCCACACAAACATACTTACATACTGTATGTGCGTAACATATGTATCATGCATATGTACATGCATATTTATCTGTATTAGATTTCATAACAATTTTATTATTAAATATATGTATTTTGTTTCACATTTTATTATTGTCATCTTTCTCATCGTCTCTTTTTGCAGCCATTACAACATACGAAATACCACCCGGCCACAGCAACTATGGCCCCCCCTCAAAGCCGCCATCCTATAGCTCAGTAACGCATCAATACTTGCCACCAGCGACGGGCGGTTACAGCGGCGGTGGCGCACCGTTTAGCAGCGGACATGCGGCATTCGAAGCGCCCGCTAGCAATTATCTGCCCACTGGCTATGCCAATGAAGGTTCGTAGTTGCAAAGAAAACAAGCAAAAAAAAATAAAAATAAATATAAAAAAAATGAAAAGCTAAGGAAATAAGATTTGCATGAGCTGTTGCATATCGTCAAGTTTGCTCTTCGTGTTGCCCCACTTGCGGAGCGCTTGCTGGTTAATGTTGCACTCTCGGCAAATCTTGTAGTCAAAGCTCCAGTTTACACATATACAGCCCGCGACAAAATGATGGCACCTCAACATTTTGACTAGTTGTGCACATTTTTTTTATTTGCAAAATCGTGTCCCTGTTAGTTTTTGTTAAATATTTACAAGTTTTTTAAAGTTCACATTTTTTTTGTTACCTTTTTATAAATACGTAAAATACATACACATCACACTAAAAATTTTCATACAGAGGTTTGGAAAATTAAAATAAATTTCATCAAAATTTTGTCTAAATTTTTAGAAAATTTTTGGGTATGTAGTTTTATAGGCTGTTAAATATAGTACAAGTTTTAAGCAGCTAAAAATATATGTATACATATCTATTTTTTTTTTGCCTAGTACTAAAATTTAATAGCCTGTAAACGTGCATATCCAAAAACTTTCTAACAATTCAAAATAAAAAGTTCAAAATTTAAAATAATATTTGTTGAAAGCTGTGTATAAAAGCGTAAAGATTGATTTATACCGTTTTGTTTAAAACATGCCCCATATTTTTATAAAAAAAAATAACAAAAAAATAAATTTTACTTTAAAAACCTTGCAAATATTTGACATGGGTATGTAAGTAGTTTTATAACCCTCTAAATTTTAATATGATAATGTGCAGATGTGAAGTTTCTGAAAAATCCCGTTAGCTTTTGATACTTTTTTTTTTACTTTCGTTGTTGCCAATTTACTTATATGGAAACAAATGTGTAATCATTAGCAAAATAAATTATCAAAATTCAACGGAACTTTTCACTTCAAACTTACACTTTTTTATATTAAAATGTAGTAATCGAAAAATTGTTCAACGAATTCAAATAAAAACCTTGGAATTTTTATTAAATCGTATGGAATTTTTTCTAATTTCTGTACAAAACGTGAAATTCGGATTTATGTGGTTTTTGTTAGATAATGAGCTATGATTTTATTAAAAAAGAAGCATAATAATAATTAGCATTAAAAACTTTTCAAAGAAAAATTGTCAAAACTGGTCCGAATTTTGAGGTGCTATCATTTTGTCGCGGACTTTATGTGCACGCTTATGTGTATGTGTGCCTATAAAAACTGCTTGCATATCTCCTTTGATTTGTTGTTGGTGTCGGGTATTGTGAACAGTATGGGTTTTCCATTATAGCGGAAATTTGTATAATCAAGTATCGAATTAATAGTTTGCTTATTACTTTTATTTTATTAATATGTATAAAAATTTTTATGTTTTCACGCTTCAACTGCTATAATGCACTCGTAAAAGATGCAAATAAAAATATATAGGTGTACATATATACATACATATGTATGTAGGTTAGGCTGGGCCGATTTTGTATGGGGGAAAATAAAAGGCATTTGACGGTATTGTAATAGTAATATTATGTTGTCTTAGGTCTAAACCAATTGTTATTGCCCACGAAAGATTAATTTAAAAAAAAAATTAAATTTTGGCTCGTAGCCTCTATGAAATGCGTTAATTGTTATAAACAGGACAATATATCAAATTAAAGGTTATTCAATTTAGTATCCCAAGTTCATATATAATTTTTCACAAGACTAAAAATTTTTAAAATATTAATGGTGATTTCGTCTCTTCCAAAATATGTGGCCCAAAAATGTGTTCGATGTTACACTCAACCCTGCAAAAAGGCATGTCTTCGCCTCTTTGTCCTTGTCTAGCTCACGCATTTCATAATATTGTCGTTTAAAACAACCATCTAATTTTCAGGGCAACCATCTCCCCTGACAGAGATTAACAGGGCAGTAAATGTGTCATCTTTGCTTTACAAGAGTTGAACATTTTAAGAAACGGACACAAAATTTTCTCACCCTTTGCCTTTGATTTAAAATTGAACACGAAAAGAAAAAGGGCAATCAAAAGGCAACATTTTTTGGTAGAAACGAAATCACCATAAGATAAAACTTACAAAAACGATAATTTTCCCTTATGAATTTTCAATTCTTTATTACCTCAGCAACCAAGTGAAAAATGTAAAAAAGTGAGACGAGATTTATTCCAAATGTTCTTATGTTTTCGGACGTTTATATAAAATTAAAAGGACTATGGACTTGGTCACGCCGATTTGGTCAGTTTTCAAAATTGTGGTGAATGAAATCAAAAACGTATTGTCGAAGATTAGGAATCGTTTGATAAGACAATAGTAGTTTCAAGCACATAAGTACATACATTATCGAAATACATTTGGGGTGAGAAACGCCCGTTTTAAGTCCATTTATGCAATCTTGAAAATTGGAGCGGAATGGTTTCATTAATCACCGAAGATGCGCATTTTTCGCGTTTTCTAAATTTGCCGTTATATGAAAGTAGGGGGTGCAATAAGTGTTTAGATATAAATATTTTAGTTAATTCCATTATGTGAAAAAGTGGCTGTAGGTAAATGCAATAGTCTTTAATTTATCCCGGGAAATCCTTTTGAGGACTCTCCAATGGGACGATGTTGCTTTGCATTCAGCATGAACGAAAAAAGTCACTCCCTGGCACACTTTTCTGTAATCTGGTTCTTTTATTTACGAGCTATTTACACAATTAAAGAAAAGTTTTTGTAGAATAAAATTAGAGATCCACGTAAGTTTTTCAATATAACTTTAGTAAACATTACTCGATCGATACGTTGTAATTACCAAATTGAAGGCGAGACTAACTGCTATTAATTTATGATAATAATATGATGAAAATCGTTCATATTATAAAAAAATATTTACAAAACGAAAAAATGTTGAACAAAAATTTCTGTCAACTTCCTATATCTGCAATTTCTGTATTCTATTGTATGCATAAACTTAAGTAAACTAATTAGTTTTTCTAAAAATTGTGCCTGTTTAAAAAAAAAAGTAGATTTTCGACCCGCCCTAATGGTAAGGTATAGAAAAACATTTAGTGGTTGGCGTAATTGGTGCGAAATGCATGCATACAAAATATCCGATTTTGCATATGCCCATATCTTTATGTATTTTTATTCATAATTTTTAAGTATTGGTTAGTAGTAGTTGTGAGTTTTTATACTCGTTTGTCATATCGAGTTTACAAATTGTTAACAATTTTGCATAGCTTGTATGCCATGTGTGGACGCTGTTATTAACATAAGCATGTAGATATACATACATTTTTATACATATGCATACATGCACATGAATATTGTTACATATGTAGATGCAAATTTGGTTGAAATTGAAAAATTGAAACTCTTATTTAATCTGCCACTTCCGCGTGGAAGGAAGTGATTTTCGGCAACGTTGATTTTTATTCAACGACCGGTCAACGCATTCAATTCAATCTTTAGTTGTGCAGTGGCAGTAAATTAAATTGATTTTTCTTTACTATTTTTTTTTTTTAGTGAAGCAATTAAATTTATATAAATTTGATTTTTTACTTTTTAGTTA